AGTCGAAACCTATCAGCTAGAGCATTTTTGCTGCTATACCCCCAATTTTTCTCCTTCCACACGGGCAAGAAAATGTGCTCCCTGTTACTCATCCTGTACCAGGGAAAAAGCAAACACACCGAAATAAATAAGGCCGTGAATCATCCCGCCAGCCCACGTCACCAGGTCCCCACAAAGCCATGACGGGCAGCAGGTCTCAGCAGAAGGCCGAGGTCCTTCAGGGCCTGTGCCCTGCTGCCCCCCTTGGCGGCTGGTCCCCTCCCCTGCCCATCACACCCAGGTGCCCGGGGGGGTCCCGGGGGGGGGTGTGTGTGTCTCTCCCTGTACAACCTCTTTCTCATGGTAATGAGCCCCTGGCAGCAGAGTTTGCCCCCGGCTGGCCCTATGGCCCCATTTGGGGATGGGGGGGACATGGGGTTATCTCCATGGGGGGGTATCTCCACCACGATGGGTTCGGTGGACAAAGGGAAACCCACGGAGGAGGAGGAGGAGGAGGCAGCCGGCATTGCCCGTGGCATCACTTGGGCAGGTTTGCATCAGGACCACCCGGCTGCCCCCACCTCACCTCTCTCTATTTCCACGCAGGAAAGCTTGAGGAAAAGGGAAAACCCGCACCCGGAGAACTGCCCTTAAAACCATCTCCAAGCCACAGCGCCACGTGCCTCGCGCAAAGAGAGAGCTGGGGTTTGTGAGGATATTTTGGGTCTGTTTTTTTTTAAACTGATGGGGGAGGGGGGATCATATTTGCAACAGTTTGAAATAGAGCGAGGCATAGGCTCTGCATGGGGATGCTGACCGTGGAGGGGCTGGGAGCCGGGCTGCCAGCACCGCCCCAATAAAGGCAGGATCTATAGGCTGTCATTATTTTCATCTCCTAAAGAAGCTGCACACCCATTATTAGTTCAGAGCAGGGCAGGAAATCATCGCCTGGATTAAGGTTAAAATCCATCTCAGAAGGGTTTAGCTGATTGCTAAATGTTTATGTCCAGTGTCCAAAAATTAAAAAAAAAAAACCAACCCACCCCCCCACATACCACGTTAAAATAACATCTAATAAGGTTGGGTGTTATGCCACTCCTGCAAAGATCAGAGCAGTTTATCGCTCCGATGCAAGCCCTGCTGAGGCGCTTCAGAGCTGGAGAAACTGTGAGATTGAGGGCTGAGAGAACAGTCTGCAAAATTATGAATAGGGATTATCTGACAATACCAACATGTTCCTTAAAGCCCTTGAGCATCATCACACGGTCTGAGGGCTTGTTTTTTAGTGTAGCTGCAGGTATATATTTTAGTGATATAACATCGACGGCACTCCTGCCTATCGCAGGTTAGGCTGCGGTTTCTCTTAATCTCCGGTTCATCCTCCCCCTTTGTAATCTGGAAATGTATGAACAATACGTAAGGCGTGTGTAATGGGATTAATTTATTTTGAGAACTTGTTGGTTGTTTGTTGTTTTTTCCCTTTTTCTCATCTGAAACGTGGGTGACTGGAAATCGAGCGAGTCAGTAATTAGCATTCACTTTTTTTCTTTTTCTTTCTTTTTATCATACGCATCTAAATTCAGTTTAGCTCTTTAAGGAATTGCCAGACTGCCCTTGATTTATAGGCAGTGTCTTCTGGATCTGAGAGGACCTAATTCAAATTAATAATACTTGAATCTGATTTCAGGATGTTCGCACTGTGCTATGTATTTCATTAAGATATCGTCACTTTGGGTGCGTGATACGCCTCTGTATCTACAGGTATATTTAGGCGTGGACAAGTCATGCATCCTGCAAGAAAATGATGTTGGCGTTTAGTGGATAGTGGCAAGAAAACTTTTAGCAAAGCCAAGCTAACCCGTACTGGAAAAAAACAAAATAATAATAATAATAATAATAATTTAAAAAACCAAGAACCTTGTTCCCAGCTTTGCACAATTAGGGATTTCAGCGGCAGCAGACCGCCGGGTCTGCGGGCAGATTTGCTTTCAGCCGCTCCGTGGCTGGCCGGGCAGGGGCACCCCCCCCCCCCAGCAAAACAGC